TACCATTTACCGCCAAATGAAAGCGTAATTTGTCATGAAAAAAGACGTATAATCCACCTGGATACACAAAGTAGTTGTGGTGATATGTACAGTTTTACTAACACATGTCACAACCTGTGACTGGCAGAAATCCGCTCATACCATGTTATTGCCAAAAATAATAAAGATTTAATTACAAATAGATATTTGTATGACAATTTAAAACAGTTTATTGATATTAATTTAAAATTTTCTCTCTGTATCCCAAAGGCTGTTTTTTTTTTTTTATTGAGAACATGACTAGTAGCAGGAAAACTAGAAGCTCCTACTGCCACTGTTTACCTGCAGACAGGCTGGGAAAGAGCTGAGTCATGTGACAGCTGTACATCAATTAGGAAAGAAGGTACTTAAATGTTTTTTGTTTTTATTTAACATAATTACAGTGCCATCATCCTTACATAAAGAAAGGGGATAATGTGAATTAAACAGTGTGTGTTTAGTATCACTTTTAGCTTTGACAATAAAACTTGGAAGCTGATTTGGTTTCTGTGCACAGCTGCACCAGATTTTGCACTCTTTCAGCTTTAGTAAAGCAACCCCTAAGTATCTGAGTTAGCCTTTTGGAGAAGAAAAGGAGAGAGGTGCACCAAAACTAAGTGCAATATTAACCCGCTGGTGCCGCCCAGCCCTTTTAGGGTTTCAGAACACGGGGGGCGGGGTTTTAGGGTCATGTGACCGCCGTGATTCGCTGTCACGGTGATTACATGATCTGGAAAGGTCCCGATCGAAAGAGGAGATCGGGACCTTTCCGTAAGTACCGGACATGTGTACTGGGAGTGCGCATGGCGCGCTCTCAGCACATATGTTTTTTTCTTAATTGCACACAAATGTGTGGCCACTCGGCTTCAAGGCCCAGACGCCGGGAGGCCGCACATTTGCGTGCAGCCGGCGCCAAGAGGTTAAAAGGTTATTTTTATTATCCTCCCTGGCGGTATTCCCGAGTGTAGCTCGGGGTAAAGTTTCAGTACCACAAGCGGTAACCCCGATCTACACTCAGGATTACCATGCGGCGCTGCTCCCGCGATCCCTCGATCACTTACCTTGTCCTGTGCTCCCGCGATGTCCCTCCTGCAGTGTCCCCTGTAATGTCCTCCGACGGATGCCGGCATCTGTCATCTGGGTTCTGTTCCCTGCGACGTCGGGACGTACGGGGGACGGAACGGCGGGAAATTTGAAAATGACAAAAGTGACATTCACTAAAATCACATAGTATAACATTCCTGTATCAAACCATTTCACATACATTTTGTCCTGAGTGCTTTGTCCGGCGCCCCTGCCTGCATTTTTTACTGTTCTTTCTGCCTGGAAACTGAGAAACGTCCATGGTGTCCAAAAAGCGTCCCTTTAGGTCAAAAGCGGTTTTAGACCGGCTAGAGAACAGCGATAGTAAATCAGAACCACTTGCAGAATTGAGTGATAATGATTCGTGGGGGAAATTCGTCATCAGACACTGAAAACAATTCTGCGACTTTGCTTAGTGATGTGCGAACTTGGCGCTATATTTCACATTTCAGTGTTTTTGATTTGATTATATTATTGAATTAAATGTATTATTATATTATTATTATTTTTTATGATTATTTATTAAATTATAATTTATGATTTCATGTTCCAAGTTTTATCATACCCGGGATGTTTACTAGACTCTTGCTCGGACAGATTTCAGTGAGTTATTCCAAAAAAATTACAGGCCTACAATAAAAAAATACATATTTCCATGCAAAAAAAATGTACCGCTTTGAGAACAGAAATATGGACATAATCAGACCGCGAGGGAGGTTAAGCAAGGTAACTGAGGTAACTCACTAGATAGCAATTCTGTATTGCTATCTAGTGAGTTACCTCAGTTACCTTGCTTAATAAAAATAACTTTTTAATACTGCACTTAGTTCAGCTTTACTCTAAGGGTGCAGCCTCCTAATGTTGCTGATTACACTATACTCCATATTGAAACACAGCACAGTACGGACTACTCCCCTACAATTTTGGACTTTCAGTTCTTCTTTTCTCTCCAGCGCCAATTTTATTTAAATATTTTTGCATCAGCCTTTTGCAGCCCCTGTACAGCAGGGAGTAGGAGGAAGAAGCGGCACAAGGAGCCAATCAGTTAATGCGCTGATAAGAAGCATGCTGATAGGATTAGAAGGCAGAGTGATACCAAAATGAGCTCATCACCAAGTCCAATCTTTAACAAACTCGTGCAGACTCCACCTCCGCAACATCGCCAAAATCCGCACGTTCCTAACCCCAGAAACCACTAAACAGCTCATCCACTCCCTCATCATATCACGACTCGACTACTGCAACTCCCTCCTCACTGGCCTGCCTCACCGCTGGCTATCCCCGCTTCAGTCGATCCTGAATACGGCTGCCAGACTCATTCACCTTTCCAACCGCTCCATCTCCGCCACCCCCCCCCTCTGCCAATCCCTCCACTGGCTTCCGATTGCACAACGGATCAAATTCAAAATCCTAACACTGACATACAAAGCTGTCCACCATACTGCCCCGAACTACATCACCGACCTAATATCCAAGTACCACCCAGCACGCACACTCCGCTCCTCACAAGACCTCCTTCTCTCTAGTTCCCTGGTCTCCTCCTCCCATGCCTGCCTCCAGGACTTCTCCAGGGTGTCACCCATCCTCTGGAACTCCCTGCCCCAACCCATCAGATTATCACCTACTCTCCTCTCCTTTAGGCGCACCCTGAAAACCCATCTCTTCAGGGAAGCCTACCCCACCCTCTGCTAACCTGCCGACCTCCTCCACTCTTCCTACCACTCCATCCCCCACAGCTATCTCCTCCTGTGCCACCATCCCCTCCCTCCTAGATTGTAAGCTCGAAAGAGCAGGGCCCTCGATCCCCTCATGTTTTGCATTGTATTGGTATTGTTCTGTCACATGTTCTGTCCCCCTTTTGTAATGTACAGCGCTGAGCGAACTATTGGCGCTTTATAAATACTGTATAATAATAATAATCACGCTGCTGCTTTTCCATTCACTGTCCAGTCACAGGCAAGGAGTGGGTCTGTGACAGCCTAGGCTGAGAAGAAATGTTTGGAATGATACTGGCCATCAGATAGAAGACAGCTAGTGGCAGAAAACGAGTACTGCAGGGGACAGCTGTAGATCATTATTGAGGCAAAAGCTGGTTTTATCCTTTATTGGGCTATTCATCTTTACCTTGGTATTTTTGACCGGAGTTCTGCTTTAATGATAGCTGAAACAGTACATAACTGGATCAATTATTTTCTGTAGTCATCTGTTGTTCCACTTTAAATCAAAAACCGTGTGAACAGACATGTAAAAGCAAACAGGGATTTTATCACGGCTTTTATCCGTAGAAAAGTAAACCTTAGCTCTCTTTTGTATATATAATTTGAAGGTATCCCGAATAGGAGCTTATGAGAATTACAATATGGATTCCCTCGTCACTGACCAAGATAATAAACATGTCAGGCTTGCACATTCACTCTCCTCTTGTTTTTACTGACAGAGGAAGCCAGTTGCATTGCTGGAAATGAGGTGCACTGTCTAAACTGACTTGTTTATAGGAGATAACCCCCTGACCCCAACATTGTCCTTTATCTCACCTCCAAAAAAGTGAATGATGGGACTAAGAAAGCTTCCGGGGTTTAACCGTTTATAAGATATTGCTTTTCCTCTTAGGTGGGGGTCCTTCCCAGCTTCTTTACGTGATGCGCTGAGATTTATCGGTAATCGTGGCTCATTTGTTTGTTTAATGTGCCCAGAGTGAGGCCGGCTGACCTGGGAGGAGGTGGGTTGGCAATCAACATTGTCTTGCAGGCAAAAAATAACTGTGTGTATTCTTGGAGAGGCAGGAAACGCTCCCGCTTCGAGTATTTGAGGCTTGCGGACCTTGTGTCACCGCTCGCCCAAACCTCTACTTAATCATTGAAAGTGTAGGAAAGATGGACGGAGTTCAAACAAAACTTTATTGGAAAGGATGCCAGTCTATTATGTTGCGCCATGCCTTTCTGAAGGGAGCGTGCTTTATTGCTCGATGATTAGACCCCTGAGAATTCCTTTGCTTCAAGGGTGAAGCCCAAGTGATTCATCCATTGGGAAAAAAGACTGCATTGTGTATATTTAATCGGGACTTACGCCCCTATGGACAATATACCCGTTGACAAGAAACGTATCTGTCTGCGAGCATCACTCTTTATTACATAACAGACTATATCTCTATGGGCCAACAATACGAGAGGCCCACCATGACACTTACAGAGAAACATGCATCACCAGCACCAGAACGATGTGCTGGTGATATGTGTTCCTATTTATGACTTTGTTACAGTGACTTACATAATATATTACTACAGCGCTCAGGAAAGAAGTTGAATACTGTTTGGAGTGCACCAGGTTTCTATATTCAACATGAAGATTGAACACTTAGTGATTTTTGATGTATGATGTTGTCCACACTTTGCATTTGACTGAAAATTTTGATTGGAAATAGAATTTATTGGTCATAAAGCAAAACAAACAATTAAAAAAAGATTGTATAATGTCCTGGTACCCTCCTTGTTATGTAGGAACCACAAACAGCCCTTTGCTGTATGCAGTGTTTCCCTCAGGATCCAACAGTTAGTAGTAGTGGGAGCTTGATTTGTAAAGGAGCTGTAAGAACATTGATCTTCAGCAGTCTCATATAACAGGTTTCTAGTTTCTGGGTATCTTCTACGGTGTGACTCCAGTCTCCAACCACTGTTTTAGCACAATCTCTGACCATTTGCAAGTACAGCCTTTCACAGCCAAGTGTCTGTGGAACCCTATGGTTTCTCCAGAGGTTGCTAGGTGTTCCTTGAGCAATGAGCGCTGAGCGAACTTTGGCGCTTTATAAATACTGTATTAATAATAATGAGCAATTTTTGACTTTCAGATATGTAACCACTGACATGGAAGCTATCTGTAAATGGAGCTTTCATCTTACTGACCACAAATCTAAGGAGCATTCTTCCCACTGGCCACCAATGTAAGGGAACATTCAATCCACTGCCAACGAATGTAAGGAGCATTCTTCCCACTGATCACCAATGTTAGATGTATTATTCCCACTGACCACTAATGTAAGGAGCATTTTTCCCAATGGCCACCAATGTAAGTAGCATTCTTCCCACTGATCACCGATGTAAGGAGCATTCTTCCCACTGACCACCAATGTAAGTAACATTCTTCCCAATGACCACCAATGTAAATAGCATTCTTCCCAATGACCACCAATGTAAATAGCATTCTTCCTATTGACCACCAGTGTGAGGAGCATTCTTCCCATTGACCACCAATGTGAGGAGCATTCTTCCCCATTCACCACCAATGTGAGGAGCATTCTCTTCAATGACCACCAATGTAAGTAGTATTCTTCACAATGACCACCAATGTAAGGAGCAATGTTTCCAATGACCACCATGTTAGTCTACCATGTGCTGTAGTAATTAGGAGGGGTTCCCTGAGACCTGAAACTTATTTCAAGGGTTCCCTCCTTGTTAAAAAGGTCAAGAAAGGCTGTTCTAGTAAGTCTTCAGTCCAGGGCTTCTGTAGCATACATATAATGTTTATTGACAGGACCACTGATGCCTTCTATACCTATATTGATCCACTGAATTATTGATCTGCATTCGATCGTTCCTATGACATACACAGCACCAAGGTCTTTGGTGTGTAATTTTTTTTTTTTTTAACAAATGTGTAAATTGAAAATATCTCCGTGATAAATGGATCAAATATAATCTATGAAAAACCACCAATCCCAATATTACTACTACTAATCCATTATTCAATGTTCCCAGTTAGCACATTCATAGTCACAGCTGCCACCTTAATTAAAAAATAATAATAAAAATAATGTAATGTGTTCACCTCAGTGGTGCTGTAACATATGACTATTGTGGAACAATTATAATGATCACAGTAATGCAGTCCTCATATTAATAGTCCATATCAACTTAAACTGCAACATAAAGTGCTTCAATCTCCATTAACCTGTTGCTTTTCACCAAGCCACCACAAGTGCTCATGCTCGTGAGAGATCCACTCCCTTTGGGAAAACACTCACCAGACCTCCATGCCTCCCACTCTCATGGTTGGCTTGATTCACTTTAAAAGTTCCACATCGGCTCATTGGCACAAAATCTCCACTGTATCTTTCACTTCACTCCACCAGGTATCATCACCATAGAAAAAAAAAATAAACCTTCAATGGTACAGTAACCAGTACACAAAACTTTATTGAAAGGTAAAATGCCACTCACATTATAAAATCCATTAAAACGCTCATCTAAATCTTAATGGATTGAGGTGTGGTAAAGTGGTAATCTCTCCCACCACCGCCAACTTCTGGGACTGCGTTGCTGCGTAACTTCTGGTTCTCTTCTGGTTCTGGTCTTGATGTCACATCTGGTCACCATCACGTCCGACTTCGTCACGAGCTGCACCTAACTTTCTATACACTCTTCCCCATTATAACTGGCTCTTCTTTGCCACCAATAGGGGCATGGTATCACTGGATCTATGCAAATGAATGAATCAATAAACTAACACAACGCACAGTCCCACCATGCATTTAACCCCTCTACTGCTGGGGCGGTATTCACCACAGTGCCCTCAATATAATAAAATGCTGAGCTCTGTTCTGCAAACAGATACCCACCTCTTTAGCTGCTGCCACCATTGTCCTTTCAAATCCATCCTGCAGATGGCATAATGCACCCAATATTGGATGCGTGGCCCCTGGAAATCCAGGAGCAAGCACTCCCACAAATGGATTCTGTATTATTGCACTAAGTGCAGGGGGCGGGTCCATGACACCCTGCAGTCACAGGAGTTTGGGTGGATGACATTGGGCATTACTAGTCCCAGAAAAGGAACAAGGTTAGATTTTAAAGAGTCTGAAAAGAGAAAACTTTAGAATGTTGGTTAGTATTGTACTGTATTGGAGAACTTTATTTTGATTTTAAAACCACCCAGGCAATGATTTTTTTTTTTTTTTTTTATACTGGAAGCTGGGTTTCAAGATCTGGCATGGAACCAAAACTGACGAAACCTCTGCCCTGACGTCACGTAAATTACAGTACTCCCATCACAGGTTTCTTAGAACCAATCTGTTCTTGTAAACAAGGGAGTGTTCCACTACCCACATCCCCTTTAAAGGTTCCTGCTCATCACCTAAAGGAACATTGGAACATACCCCTGCTGCAATTATGGTTTAGGCACCTTAACCCCCTGTGCTTTCATTTTTACCCATAGGTCTAACTTTGACGCAGGCAACAGGGTTAAGTCATGACTACCAGGAACCACAGTTTATAGTCACTGCAGGGAAAACAAACACGTAAAGGTTGGTCTGTTCTTAGATAGATTTGCGGCTACCTGCAGGGTGAGGGAGTTGATGTGTGCCTGAATCACAAAGGCAGGGCTGTGAGTCGGTATCCTCCTTGTGTAAGCCTTTGTCCAGTCATTTTGTTTGTCCATCTTAGTCACTTCCAGTGTTGGTGGCTCTGCTCTATGTATAAGTCCACCCTTGTAGCTCAGGACAAACAACAGTTTCCTGTGACCGTACCATTATGAAATATTGGGCTCTCCATCTAAGTAGCTGATGATGTTTTTCTGTCCTGATGAGGTCCTTTTGTAATAATGTAATCCAGGAGCACTCAATCTTTTGAAGAGCCAGGGCCACTTGAGTGATTTGGTAACCAGTCGCCGACCACAATGAAATGAAATGCTTCAGAATTTAGATTTTTTTTTTTTAAATTTTGGATAGCATTTGCCTCCTGCAGCTGCTGAATGCTGGCGGAAGGGAGAGGAGCAGAATCCGTTTTTCAGCGGTTGCAGGAGGAAAATGGAGGGGATCGGTTCCTTTATATGCTGCCCCTCCTGTCCAAGTGTAAAACAGAATTGGTTGGGCTGCGCGGGCCCCCTGGAGCATGTGTCAGGGTCGCATGAACTCCCTGCCCCAACCCATCAGATTATCACCTACTCTCCTCTCCTTTAGGCGCACCCAGTATGTCTAAATCTGCACGTTCCTAACCCCAGAAACCACTAAACAGCTCATCCACTCCCTCATTATATCACGACTCGACTACTGCAACTCCCTCCTCACTGGCCTGCCTCGCCGCTGGCTATCCCCGCTTCAGTCGATCCTGAATACGGCTGCCAGATCATTCACCTTTCCAACCGCTCCGTCTCCGCCACCCCCCTCTGCCAATCCCTCCACTGGCTTCCGATTGCGCAACGGATCAAATTCGAAATCCAAACGCTGACGTACAAAGCTGTCCACCATACTGCCCCGAACTACATCACTGACCTGATATCCAAGTACCAGCCAGCACGCACACTCCGCTCCTCACAAGACCTCCTTCTCTCTAGTTCCCTGGTCTCCTCCTCCCATGCCCGCCTCCAGGACTTCTCCAGGGTGTCACCCATCATCTGGAACTCTCTGCCCCAACCCATCAGATTATCACCTACTCTCTTCTCCTTTAGGCGCACCCTGAAAACCCATCTCTTCAGGGAAGCCTACCCCACCCCCTGCTAACCTGCCGACCTCCTCCACTCTTCCTACCATTCCATCCCCCACAGCTATCTCCTCCTTTACCACTATCCCTCCCTCCTAGATTGTAAGCTCGAAAGAGCAGGGCCCTCAATCTCCTCATGTTTTGCATTGTATTGGTATTGTCTGTCACATGTTCTGTCCCCCTTTGTAATGTACAGCGCTGAGCGAACCATTGGCGCTTTATAAATACTGTATAATAATAATAATAATTGTTACCCCTGACACTACACCAGTAGTTGGGAGTATGTGGTAAAAGCATGTCTCGTTTGTGGGGTTTTGCTGCCCCCCCAAACCTCGAATGTAAAGTAGCCCTTACTGTTCTCAGCCCCCTATAAGGCTGCTTTCACACTGATGCACTGTGATTTACCCACAAAACAGCTTTCCTGCGGGTTAGGTGCGTTTTGCCATAGACTTCTATTATATCTTGTGGGTGCGGTGAACTTTCAGAAAGCACACCAAACCGGCAGGATACAATAGAAGTCCGCTTCTCTGGTTTGAGGTTGAGGGCCACAGGTTGAGCACCCCTGACTTAGGCTATCACATCGATAACTGCTGGCACAAAGCAGTATTGGACAGAAACGGTATTGAACAATTTATTTTTTTTTAGCCAGTAGTGGTTCCTTTGAGACAATAGTGGGAACTAAGGTCTCACTTTTGCAGAGTATTTGAATATGTATGACAATGTCACTAAAGATCTTTTAGTGGATGTCCAGCCATCGCCTGACATACATTGCAAAGTAGCCGATTCTGTTCCTTTATTTTAATTCCCCCTCCCCAGCAAAATCCACAGTACCTTTCCTTCGTTTTTCACTGCCCAGCTAGGCAGGAACAAAGAAAAGTATGGATGAAAATGTGACTCACTGCATGTTACAGTGCGGGGCTGATCACCAAGCACCAGCGCTGTCACATGTAGAGAACCCATAGCTCTACGTAAGCTGGGACTTCAGCAATTTGCAGCTAACATAGGGTGGCTTCTTCTGCTTCTGTCAGGGTCTTTGTAAAACAAGGGTGAGTATGTGCAGTTGGAGATGGCATGGGCAAAGCACATCTTCACTGGGGGGCCCATTCACCCTATTGCAATGGAGTAAACGCGCGTATATTACCAGAAAATGTGACAATGCATGTTACATGCATCGGTGCAATGCAGTTCATTCTAAATGGCAGCCCAATGCACCTTGCCCATGGATGTGAGGCAAAACAGTGCAACAAATGTGTGGTGCTGCACGCTTCTCCAACTGGTACATGCACCATTTTTGAACAATGAATGGTTGTAAACCCTTAGGGCTCATGTACACTGCAGCTGACGTTTAGGAGCTGTTCAGCATTTTTTTTTAGCAGCCCCTGAACTCTCCCTAATGTTTTCCTATGTGTCCATGTACACATCGTCGTTTACAGTCGTTTACAGGCATTGGAGTTTACAGTCGTTTTTTTGAACGTAGAAAGCTTGCGTTCAGCAGTCGATTTTATCAGCATTTCAAACGCAAAACACTTGTGAACGTGGCTAAACGCAGCTGATCACGTTTATAAGTGCATTCTGGGCATTTGGGAGGTTCTCCTGTGCTTATCTATAAAAAACACTTCTAAACATAAACGTTCATAAACGCGTTATGCAAACGCAGCTAAACAGACATTTTTTAACCTACGTTTTCCAGCAGTCAGTTTCCATCGTTCAGAAGTGTCCCGTGTACATGGGGTCTTACATATACCAATAAAAAAAAATAACTGCATTTTTGCTGCATATGATTGGATGATGGAAGTCAGTAAAGCTGCTAAATTACTAAGCCGTGGAGCAACTGCACTTTGCAAACTGCACAGTCTATTTGCCTTTAGTAAATCAACCCCACTGTCTGCATTCG